ACCGCAGCCCTTGCTCGGGGTCTCAGACCTGAACAGGCGCGAGCTTCCTTTTCTTGACTCCAGCTGGGGCCCCGGGGGCCCTGAACTGCTTGGACCCTAGACCGACCGAGTCCTCGGCCATCCCCAGCCCAGGGGCGCCCGTCTGGCCTTGCAGCCAGGCGGTCTGGGCACAGCTGGCGCCGGGCGCTGAGCCCTCCTCTGGCTTCCCGCCTTCCGGAACCAAACCCCGCCATGGGAGCGCGCGAGAAGCCGCTCCATCGTACAGCGCCCAGGACGGCAGGTAAACGTCATGGCGGCCACTTTGGGGGATGTCGGCGCCAAAATTTCTGGGGAAGGGAGAAGTAACATCAAAAGGCATTTATGGAAAAGCTCTGGTGGCAGGAGACCCAGGTAGGCCTGGGGGTGAGGGCAGAGCCCTGAGAGGAGGGGGTGCCGGCAGGCGGGGCCGTGTCCAGGGAAGGGGTGCAGGCTGGCGGTGGGGAGGGACACCCCCCGCCTGGTGACCCAGGATGCAGGACTTAGTCTCCCCGGGCTCCCCCGCCAAGTGGGGTATGCACTCCAGCCTCACCAGGGCGGTGCCAGGCTGGAGCCAGGGCTGTGCTGGGCAGACAGGCCAGGCCGCGGGCTCCCTGCCCCTCCACCTCTTCCGGGTCTGGGCGCTTGGCGTGTCACGTGTGCTCTGGAGCTGCGCGTGACCTGAGAAGGGGTCGGGGAGACGGCTGGTGAGGACACGAAGGCTCGGGGGGCCACCGTTTCTGATGCGCACAGTGTGCCCAGCTGCGCCCCTGCCAGCTGGGGGCCTCCAGGCTGCAGCAGCCAAACTAGAGCTCAACGCCACACGATAACCGGCTTCCCGGCCGAGGGGGGGGGGCCAAGGGCTGCTGCTTGAGCACCTACTGTGCGTCCGGTGCAGTGACAGGTCGTGACAAACGCTGTCTTCTTGAATTTTCTACAAAGGAGGGGCGGCTGCTCCCGGACTGCATTTGAGAAAACTAAGAGCAGAGCGGTGGTGTGAGCCGCCTGCTCGGGCTGCTGCCCGGGGCTGGCACCCAGCGGTCTGGCCTCCAAGCCAAGCCTCTCTGGGCCTCCGGTTCTCGGCCTTGAGCATGGGGGGCAAAGTAGTGGCGAGAAGGGTCTGCCGCCTCCCAAAATGAAGCTGCTGGGGCTATCCTCTCTCCCTCGCCGGCAGGAAGACAAGCGCCCATTGGGTGGACTCCAACGTGGACTCCATTCCCCGGCCTGCAGCCCCCTCCCCTCCCTCAGGCTGCCCACCGCCCTCACCACCGCCCCTGCCGGGCCCATTCCCTCTGGGGCAATTCTGTGGGGCCAGCTCTGGGCTCCACCCATTCCCGCTGGCCTGGCCCAGCACCCTGCACGCTTATTCTAAAACAATCAGCATTTGGCACAAGACGTGCAAAACTAAACGTGGGCGGATGTCAGGAGGGGGGGGTGGCCGCGGGAAAGTGAAGGGTCATTTGCGTGGGAGGCCCCTGAATGTCTCCTGGCCCAGGGACAGGTGGGGTGGGGGAGATCCAGGTCTGGGAGTGACAGACGGGGCCCAGCCCACCTCCACCGGGAACAGTCCAGAGTCCCCCGCCACCCCCCGCCCCCCTCGGCTCTCCACCATTCAGGCAGGAAACTTGCACTGAGCACCTGCTACACGCGTCTCACTCCAGACCCCGAGGACACATCCTGGCCTGGTGGGTGCAGACACCCAGCACCCACCCACACACCCATCCATTCGTCCCTCTACCCACCATCCATTATGTGGGGGGCTCTGCTCCCCCACCCTCTGTACTAGAGGAACCCCCCGGGTCGCCCATCGCAGCACTGGCCACCTGTGAGACCCTGCGGATGCCGGCTCCCCGAGGCCGGGGCCAGGGCTGAGGCCCCTCTGGGACCTGGTGGCCAGGGAGCAGGAGGACCAGTGGGCCGGGGACAGCAGGGAGGTGAAGGGCCCTCGCCTCGGCTTCGGACAGTCCGCAAATAAACTCCAGCTCATGCCTCTTCCCAACCAAGAGGGAGAGAAAATAGCTTTCACACTATATTTTCTGATTTTTTTTTTTCACTTCACTGCTTCTAAATCGATCCAGAACAGATTGTCCAATTGTTTGAATTTCAGGAGAAATGTCTCCTCATCTCTCCCAGCCCTGCCCAGAATTCTGCCAGGCTCTGGGGCTGGCTCCTCAGCCAGGCTTTGCCGGGATGCCGGGCTGTCCCGACTCCTGCGGCCTGAGCAGGTGCAGGGACGACACGGGCGGTTGGGGGTTTGGGGCAGAGGGGGGAGGCGGCATGCGCTCCCGGCCAGCACCCAGGCCCAGGCCCCACTGGCAGTTCCTTCCCTGGAAGGGAAGACTTGCTTGCCCGGGAAGGCAGGAGCTCCCAGGGCACCGTGGCCAGGGCTCGTGGGCAGGGCCGCCAGGACAGAGTGTGGCCAAACCCGCCTGTCCCCCTGGTGAGCGTCCCAGGCACGGTGCAGGCACGCGGGGAGGGCCCTTGGAGCACAGGAGCCGGGGACACCTGCGGCCCGGGTACCTGCAGGATGGATTGGTTGTCGGGGGCTGGGGGGACAGACCAGCTACACATTAGTGCCGTCTGCCCTGGGCACAGCAGGGGGCGGTGGCCACTCAAGCCACGTCCCTGCCCTTCTGAGTCTCCGGGGTAAAGTCCAAAGTCTGACCTGCCAGAGTCCTCGGAAACCAGGCCACCGCTCACACCCACAGCTCGCCTGCCAGCTCCCTGCAGCGCTCGGCCAGACCCATCTCCCAGACGCCCTCCCCCGGGCTCCAGGCACAATGGCCGCTCTCCCTCCCTGCCCCACTCACCCGCCACCTCTGCGTGCCACTTCCTCTGGGAAGGCCTCCTTGATGCCCCCTTTTCCAGGCAAAATTGCTCCCCACATGATCACGGCTCCTTCCGCAGGACTCGCACCCATTGGCGGCAGGGAATCCCTTCCGGTCCCCCACAGGCTGTGAGCTATGGGCGGCCTTGGCCCTCGGGAGGGAGAGACCACGCGCAGGCACCGGGGCTTGCACCATTGGCCTGACACCACGCATGCCTCCAGGGCAACTACAGGCCGCAGGGGAACCAGACTGGGGGGTTCATGACCTGCACCCCAATGCCAGAAGGCACAGCCACCCCAGGGCAGCCCCTCCAGGGCGCCTCCCAGACCCTGCCCTTGCTCAGGGGCTTGCCACCCTGTGCCCCTCCCCCCAGAGAGACGGAACTAGCAGCCCCATTAGATAACAGTGACCGTGAGTAGAACCATCTGCAAGACTCCTTGGAAGCAACTCAGCAGGGCGGCTCTGCCCAATTTGCAGGGGAGGAAACTGAGGCAGAGGGGGTTGAGCTAGCTGGGCCAGGCCATCATGGTGAGGGGTGAGCAGGGCGGGTGGCCGCCCTGCATCCCAGCGAGCCTCCCAACTACAGCGGGGAACCATGGCCGGCTCTGTGCCTCGGCCAGAAGGTGACTGCTCCGGCCAGGGTGCTCAGGGTAACCAGGCGGCGTTTGCAAAGTGCCAAGGCCAGGGATTCATCAAGGCCAGGAGGTCGCTGCAGGCCAGAGCTCCCATCCCAGCCTGGTGCCCTTGGCTCTCGGCAGCCCGAATTCTGCATGAGTTGGCAGAGCCCTCCTCCCTCACTGTGTCCTTGACCCCGGCCTCAGGTCCCACAGGAGGAGACTGGACAGCCCGTGAGCCAGTGCCCCACCCCCCACCCGCGCCGCGCCAGCCGCTGCCAGCCCTGCACGACTCTGCAACTTTAGATTCCAACCACCAGGCGCTCCAGGGGCAGCAGCTCTCCCAGGCCGAGGAGGAGACGGTTCAGGGACTCGGTCCTTCCCGTGTGGGGGGAGGCAGCCCCGGCCTGAACGTGGCTCCACGAGCCAGAACTGGTGGGGGACACCGAGCGGCCTGGGCCCCACACCGGGTGGCAGTCCCTGCCCCTGGAGTGGGGACAGCAACTGCTTGTGCAAGTGCACGCTGGGGCGTCGTGTGCACGGCCGCCTGCTAGTGTCTGTGCAGAGAAGGGATGCACCTGCCGACGAGACTCATCTGAGCCCGGCGCTCGCAGCCCTCGAAGGCGCCTCTGCTCTTCCTCGGCCCCCCTGATCTTAGGCTTCTGGTGTTTCCTGGCGACCATCACTTATTCAATCATTCATCCACAAATCCTCCACCCCACCACTATTCAAACATCAGTCACTGACGCACCCAGCCATCACCCACCCGTCCACCCATTCATCCACCTGTCTGTCCATCCATCCGCCCATCATCCCTCATCTACCCATCCATAAACTCACCATCCCTCCCTCCACTTATCCCTCCACCTAGCCACACATTTATCCTTCATGCATCCATGCAGCCACCCATCATCCACCTGCCCCTCCCTTCATGCACAGACCCATCCAAAGCACACCTGGGCTGGGTGCTGGCTGCAGGGCTGACATCAGGAAGGAGGAGCCGCCGCCCTTGCGGGACAGAGAGCGACTCCACCGGCCCGGGGCCTCCTGCGTGTTCTGTGAGCGGCTACGGTGCGGTGAGAACAGCGGTCATGTTTTCCGAGCACTTACTGCTGAGCTGGGACAGGGATTAGAACCCTAATGCTCCCTTCAGACTCGCGGGCAATCAATGGTGGTTACTGGAATTGATCCCGGTGCCTGGAATCTTTCATTCCTTCCCCGGATGCTCACGATCACCTTGTAAATTACCGTCATTATTATCAGCCTGATTTTGAAAACGAGGGCCCTAGAGCTCAGGGGGTGAAATGAGCAGCCCAACCCTGGCCCCGGGTAGAGGGAGAGCTGGGGTGTGAATCAGGCAAGGGGAGCCCCAAGCCGACGTCTGGGAACTGCGCTGCTTTGTGGTTGCCATGGAGCTGGAGACACCTCTCCATCTAAGGGCTGACCTGATTCATTTCCTCCTCCAGTCAACAGCCACTGTCAAGGAATCCCCTGCCCCGGGGAGACTGAGGTGGTCGGTGTGGCCCCAGCCTGGCTGCCTCACCTGTGGGCTAGCGCAGAGAAGCTCCTGCCACCGCAAGGCAGTGAGACATCCAGTGCCCGGCCCTGAATGCCCACGAGGTGCTCACTAAGCCCCTGACGCCAATCCTTCTACCTGGTTCTCACAATAACCCACTTTGCCAGTGAGGACACGGAGGCTCAGAGGTTGTGTGATTTGCCCAAGTGGCAGAGTTTGGCACAGGCGGGGTGGGCTTGTCCAGAGGGTGCAGCCTTGAGCACAGCCTCGGAACCCCAGGCTCTCCTGGATGGTTCTGGAGCCTCCCTCTGGCTGTTGCCCTGGCGATGGCCTCGCTCAGAGGCAACACTCATTCCCCGAAGGCCTCACGGTCCCAGGGATCAGATTCCGGGCAGTTTACCCAGAGGAAGCCACATTTCTGACCTGCTCCCTGGAAATCTAAACAACAAAGACCTTCAGAAGCAAACCTGCCAGCAGGCGGGCGTGCAGAAGTCTGCTGAGCTGAGGGCTCAACGCTGACACCAGGGTGCCTGCAAAAGGCAGAGGCTCCACCCCTCACCCCCATGATCTGGATGCGTAGATGGGGGCTCAGAGCGGGCAGCACACCACAGAAGGAGCAGGGCTCGGTGGGGGCTATCTGGACTTTGGTGTCAGTGTCTCTGGCCCTTTGATTTCATTGCTAGAATCCACTGTACCCGCTAACCCCACTGAGCCCATCTGACCCGGAGCCCATGGTGTCGGCCCCGCGGGGACCCGGGGCACCTGACTTCCCCTCTCCAGGCTGACTTCTCCTAAGAGAAGAGGAGACTCTTGGCCTTGGGGTGCCCGAGGGAGCTGGAAGAGCACAGACGTGAAAGGGTTTTATAAGAGAAGAACCTGCAAGCTTTCACATCTGAGGGAGCACTGCCAGCCACGCCTGTCTGACCTGCTTCCCGACATCCCTCGGCAGCTCCTCTGCCTGAGGTGGCCTCTGCCTGCTTGACCCTGGCACACTCCTACCCATCCTTCAAGACCGCAGCCAAAAGTTGCTTCCTCCAGGAAGCCCTCCCCGATTGGAGGCTAGGTGGAGTCTCCCAGGAGTCTGCTTCTCTTTTGTTCTCCTGCCCCCACCAAACACACGCTAAAACCCACCAGGGCGGGGCCTGTCTTAAAAGTCTCGTGCCTGGGCCTGGCACTGTGTCCGGCACTTGGCAGGTGCTCTTGAACGGCGGAGTGAATAAAGGCTAAATGCATTTTCTGCTGGTCTATAAATCCAGCTGCAGGCACGCGATCCTCCCGACAAAGGGGGAGCCTGAAGTGAAAGCAAATCACCACCGCGCTGGTAGCCGCTCAGGGAGACGTGGAGAAAACTCTCACGCTGGATTATGGAAGGAATTTGCCTTTATTTTTAATTTGTGCCGATCTCTTAGAGAGCAGCACTTTATTTCAAGCCCATCAAGCCATGAGGAGCAGCGAATCTGGCACAGGAGACAAACTTTCCCAGCTCCAGCTCCCAAAGCAGACCTCACGGCAGCGGCCGAGCTCCCTCACAGCCTCCACGGGCATCGCTGCGGCTTGCCAGGGAGGGATAATCAGATGATGTAGCTGGGTTTTAAAAGATCACGGTTTGTCTCATTTTCCAGGGAAGTGTGAACAAAAAAAAAAAATTTATTTTTCCCTCCCAGGGCTCTATGAAGCGCTTCCAGAACTTAATTCAGTGTTAAATGGGTGTAATTTGGGAAACTCATACATTATTTGTTAATTTCTGGAAGGCGAGTGTGCGCGTCTGCCGAGGTAGGTGTGCGCGGGCAGATGGGCAACGGCGCGGGCGCCCCCGGGGAGGGCGGGCGTCAGGACAGGGAAGCGCTGGACCTGAGACATTTGCATTTGTCTCAGCTCCTGCTTTTCTGCTTGGATGGCGGGAGGGAGCGATTCTGAAGGTTTTATCTGAAGGGAGAGCCTCGGGGTTTTCAGTGCAAATTTCACCGTCAGAGGCTGTTTGCCTCCCGCCCCCAGCCCTCCAGCAGCCCTGGCGCCTCTGGACCAGCCGCATCCTGACTCGGCACCCCGCGGCCTGCAGGGCTCCAGCCCGCATGACCTTGAGCACACACACGCCACCTGGGCCTCAGTGTCCCTGCAGCGGGCGGGCCGCCAGCAACCTCTGCTCTCCTGGCACCCCAGCATGCTGTGTCCTTGCCTTTGTCTGCACGGGGTGGGGGGGTCCCCATGCCCAAGACCCCACCGAGAGCCCTCCTGAAGCCACCAGCCAGGCACCATGTCCCGAGGAGCAGTGACCTGCCGGCCCATGGTCCAGTGAGGAGGTCCAGACTGACCTGGGTGCAGTTCCGGGGACAAGGAGGGAGGCACTCGGCCCAAGTGGGCCCAGTTGTGGGTAGAGGGCGCATAGGCAGGGTTGGGGGGGACAGAAAAACCACTGCCCCAACTAGTCGGTCATCAAGCGGGTCCCCAACCTCAATGGCATCCAGGCAGGTGCTCTCTGGGGACAGGTCCAAGTGGCTCTGGGGCCTCCTTTACTTCCCCAGGGAGAGAACAACTAGAGAAGGGGCTCAAGGGGTGTGTGCGTGCGCGGGAGCAGGAAGCAGGGAGGGGAGGAGGTGGGGGAGGGCTGTGAGGCCCTCTCTGTGCTGGGCCCTGTGCGGGTGAGGCCAACAGCAACCCCGGGAGGCCCTGGCCCAGGGTGGCGGCCTCTGGTCACCCTCCTTACTTGCCGGTTCCAGCTGTTCAGGACCCCAGCTTGCACAAGAGTGTTTAGGAAACAAGTCTAGTGGTTGACGATTGTTCTGTACCTTCTAGAAGAACAGCTGGGCTGGGAAAAGCCACTCCAGGGGTGCTGAGAAGGGGCTCGCAGTTGATTATAAGATCGTGTGAACGTGTTGTGTGACAACTGGAGAGAAGCTAAAGCCAGCCGGAGGCTGAGTTAACAGAGGCAGAGCATCCCCAAGAAGGGAGGTGACACCTTTCACCTAAGAGTAAGCCAGACCACACGCTGGTTCAGTCCAGGCAGAGTAAGCTGGATAATGACTAGGGAGGGAGACCTGGAGACCCTGACCTCTAGCGACTCATGAAGGCCACCACGATGGCTGGACTCCTGGCTGCAGAGTTAGAAGCTGGAGCCAGCTGGGTTATTTTTAACCCATCGAGCCTTTTTCTCATCTGCAGCAGAATCAGCCATCACTGGCTCGAGGGGTCAGCGAGGGCATTAAGTGAGATGATGGGGTTCGCGCCTGCTCCGCACAGTGCCTGGCACGTAGTAGGCCTGCGGGCCCTCGCTGTGGAGGTGCCCGCCTGCGCCCGTGTCGGCGGAGTCACTTATCACAGCCGTGCACAGCTGCAGCAGCCCGATCTGGAGTGCACTGGCCACCTCCCCCTCCTGGCAGCCCAGGCCCAGAGGGGAGGCCATCCGCTCCACAGCATTGCTGCAAGGGGGGTAACTGGAGAAGGTGGGTCGATTGTTCTAGAGTAGAAAGCCCGACTGCTCTTCCTGTCCCCACAAACAACCCTCCCTCTGCCCACCCCAACCACGGCTCCCACGCACGGGCTCCCAAGCACCCACGTTCCAAGCCTGAGCTTCCTCTCCCCTCCCAGCCCACTCCGGCCTTCCGAACCCTCACCCAGGCCTGGGGACACCATCTCTTCCCACTCTCTGGCCCTGGACCCCAACTCCGAAGCACCCCCTCCCCCGAGCAAGGTGCCTGCCCCTTCCCCCCCCTCCCTCTGCATGTTTGCCCACAGGCAGTCCCAGACCCCCTCCTCCTCCCTTCTGGCCTCTGACCCAGGCTCCCCAGCTCTGACCCCTCCTCAGCAATCCAGGGAGGTGTCCCCACCTGCACCCCCATGGCCTCCTGCTCCCCCCGACAGGGCTCCAAGTCCCTGGCCTGTCAGGACCACTTCCTCACACAGGCCAAGGGCAGAGCCAATGCCCTCAGCGCCGGCCCGGAGCTCGCTGGGTGTGAGAAGGGGAGCGAAGGGAGGGCCGGCTGGAGGGGCCCCCGGGAGTGGCTGGCCCGGCAGCCCCAGCAGGACTCCCCCCCACCCCCTGCCAAAGGCCTGAGCTGCCTGTGCCCACCTGCCCCTCCTGGCCAGTCCAGCTGCCCTGTGGCCGCCAGGCCGGTGGCCCTGGGGTGGGGTAAGACACACACATTCACACTCATTCGTGTTCACACACATTCACAGACAATCGCTCATTCACACACCCACTCACTCACACATACTCACACGCTCATTCACACACACCCACTGCCACACCTATTCACATTCTCACACACACTCTCGTGCACACTCACACACACAGCTCCAAGCCCAACTGCCCCCTCACCCTCCACCCAGCACCCCCAGATGCCTGAGCCAGAGCAGAAGTGCAGGGGCCCCCACCTGGGCTTTCAGCCTGAGCCAGAGAACTTTCTGGGCTCCTCTGACTCCGCACCAGGTGGACGGCGCAGCCAGCAGCCTCTCTGGATTGCCTGCAGGGGGTGTGCGGCCCTGAGCACCCCAGATCCAGGGGTACAGAAGGATCCCAATCCCCGGCCGCCTGACCAGGGCAGGGAGGACCCCGGGGGCCCAGCCGATTCAGGTTCTCGACATGAAGGGGAGAACCCACCCAACCCCGTGTCCCACGCGGGGTGAGAAGTCCTGCGATTCCCACCAGGCCACCCGCGGTGCCACCAGCCCAGACCCCCTGCCGGGCCCGAGGGGCAGGTGACAGCGGAAGTCCCCTCGGTCCCCTCGGTCGGGGCAGAGCCCCACTTGCTGGCGCGAGTGCTTCCCTGACAGCCCCGAGGGTCGCAGGTCACCGGTGACAGACGCCGGCGAGGGCCAGGCCCGGCCTCCCCTGCGGGACTGGGACACGGAGGCCGGGCAGGGCGGGCAGCGGCCGGCACCCAGCCCGACGACGGGGCAGAGGGACGGGTTTTCCTACTGTGACCTCGCAGCACCCTCGGGGTGGGAATGGCCCCCGCGCCACTTTCCAGAGGGGCCAAGCGCGCTGCTCAAGGTCACTCGCCCCGGCGGCGGGGTGGGGGCCGGCGGGGGCTCCCGCACTTTCTGCTGTGCCCCCCGGGGCCAGGCCAGAAGGTCAGGGACCCGAGTCCGGCAGCCAGAGCGGCACCGGCTCGGCCACGCGTTACGTAACTCCCCGTGCCGGCCCCACGCCCCGGGGTGCCCCGCAGCCGCGCACCTCGCGCCCGGACCCGCGGCTGGGCTGGCCCGGCGCCCCGCTCGCTCCAAAGAGGTGACAGTTGGAGGCGCCGCCGGGGCGCGCTGCTTCCCCGCCCCCTTCCCGC